GCTCATTTCCCTGGCTAACAAGTCTCCCAGCAGCTTGATTATCGAGGGCACAACTTTCTGTTTCAAATACTCCTTTAGCGAACTTTGTTTCTCCTTTTTCATTATGAAACTGGTGCTTGTCATGCTCGCCGTAGGATGGCAAATCTAGACCTCCACATATTTTTGTGACAGAGTCACCTTCCACTGTAGAAATTGTCACTGTGCAAGGAATATACTCTTTGACACCGATAATGGTGCTTTCCTCGGGGAGTTCCTGAGGTTCTTGGTTTATTTTCTCGGCCCTGTTTGTTTTTTCAGTTCCAATCGGCATTGAATTCAGCTTTCTAGAAAATTCCAATCCCTTCATTCCAATTCTACTGATGCTTTTTTCATTTAAAATACTCGTCAAACCAGATCTTCGTGCTGAAATCTTATCTTTATGAAAGTTGTTGTTATTAATCTCGATACCGTCGTAAGAAGGCTCTTCAACGTTTCGATTATTGTCATTAGTTGTCCCTTCTTTATTAAAGACAATCTTCTTTGCCAATTGTTGCCAATCCGTCCCGTCCTTCGAACTTTCTACACACTCTTGTCGCTGCAAATCAGCTATTTCTCCATCACGCTCTCCTTTGCCGTTGTTCTCAATAATGACTTCAAAGGCACTTGTTTCTGATTTAGGTTCTGTTACCCTGATTCCACCCATAATACGATAAATATTTGGCGTGCTTTCATATCTACAATCCTTGACACTCTCTTTCTTGTTTATGTGAAAATTCTCAGCACTATTGTTATTTTCTGACATTTCTTTTGGCGTGTCCCTATCACGTTTACTTGCAGCATACATTTGCACTGACGTGACTTTTCTTTCCTCGCAATCTGGGATCCCTTGATTTCCAAGCCCTATTACGGCGTAGTCCTCCCAAAGCGCAATTGTAAACAAAGTTTCATTTGGTTTGCTCATTTTGAAACACAGCCATGCACCTCTTCACGTTGTATAATCTTACTTCTCTAGACAAATTTTGTTCTTTTTCCGCCAACCTTCAAAGGTACATTCGTAGTATTGTTCCTGTGACAGCAACTGCCTTGCAAAGACACACCCCTCGAATGTCACCCTGCTTTCTCGCCCATATCTGCAATTCTGGAGAGCCACTTCATCTGACTTCGAAGCTTAATACCTTCATTGATACTGAATACCATTCAATGTGTTTAACAACAAATAAACATCTATCTCTGGAATTTGGAAATCACCGCGGATTTTATTAAGCCCGACCTGCTATTGAGTTGTTTCCTGCTGCGAATCTCGAAGAAAAATTAGAAGTCTCAATCTGAGCATTCGAAGAAATCTACCCTTTTTTAAATGCCAGTTCCGAACCTATCTTACGAAAAGTATTAGGTTTATTAATCATTTGTAGCTTCCAGCTAGATGTAGGTAGTAGTTAGGATTTCAAAGCTTTATTTCCACCGCTTCTTTCTGAAATCATTTATTCACCAAATTCTGCCTGCGAATTAAATATTAATGCTGATGATAAAGTAACCCTCTGGGTATCTGAAAAACTCTTCAATGAATATGCAGATAAACATTATTTATATTATTTACGCTGGATGTGGCGTCCTGCTTTCACTTTGAATGAATCCAGCAGTTCGTCTGAGCAAGCACTCTTCACTCTTTCTATAAAGGCTCAAGCTGTCATATTAGACAACCTTTTTTGCATTTACACTCTTTTTTATAAGAGAAATTTTATAAGAACAAGGGCCTCAAAAGTGGTCAAAAGTTAAGAACAAATTAGGAACAAGCTGAGGCTTAGCTTCTGCAAAATTCAATTTTGAACAACGTTTTTTCTCAAAATCGAGGAATTTTAGCGATGTGTGGGTGCTTTTTCAGTGAATATTCAGATTTTTCAGCAAATTAAGGCTGTCTCACTCACTTTGTTGGCAAATGAGGCCTGAACACCTCCTTAGAGCAAAAAAGCTAGCAATCGCACATCTTAACCCTATAATCTAAGAACAAATTAAGAACCATACAGCCTCAGATTTTCGAAAAAATTAAGAACAGTCAGCCTGAACTTTACTGGTTCTTATAAAAAAAAGATTGTATCTTATGTATCTAAGGTAAGACTGGTGTATCGGCTCTATGGTGGGGAAAGGTGAACTTTTCTTGTCCATTCCCTGCCCAGAACTTTCAGCTGCTTGTACTTGAGTCTATTAGGCTATATCAAAGGCTAGCATTTTGTATGGGTTATGTGAAACAACTTGTGCCGATGCACCAACGACCCAACGTTCCTTCCTGTGATGAGGGAATGTTGCCTCAAGACCTGATTTGATGAGAGATGTGGCAACGTCTTCTGAGGGAACATTTTTATTTCAATTGATGTAATGCATTGGTTGATGTTTTTTCCCCGACTAAAAAATTAACTGAAAATAAAAGATGTTTGGAAATAGAGATCCCGTTTTTAGAGGCTGGCTTGTAATGAATGCAAAATCGTGGAACAAAATTGTAGAAAGTGACTCTTGCTAGGCTCTTGTGACCTTGTGACACGGGACCGAGTAATCCAGTCTAAAAATAGCATACAGGAGCATTTTTCGTCTGGATCCTAATTTTCAACGAATAAAACTATATATATCTACCTAGCTTCATGCTTCCATCCCGATTTGCACGGTTTAACAATATTTTGCCTTTTGCAGCCCTGATTGACGATGCAGCACCTTTATCTGCACTAATTTCTTCCCAAATGTTTGTTTTCTTTGCGGATCATGACTAGAGCTGGAATATCACATTTAGTTTCTCGTTCAGTTTGATTCGTTGCTGTCACTGACTAGCATTACAAAACAAACGTTTACCTCGTTCTAGGAAAATCAATGAAAAATTATTTAACACCAAGAAAATAAACGCGGATAGATTCAATATTGAAAAATGTATTGGCTTTACAATAAAAAAGTTGCTCGCTCTCTAGGCCAACGAGGCAGGCATTAATTTAACGTGTTTACGGGCACGGACGTGCCTTGTCGACCAAAATACGTCCTTTTCGGTTTGATTGGCGTGCCTCGTTTTTCATGCAGCTCGAACAAGAAATGTTTCGTTGTTATGATCGCTGATATATTCCATACTGTTGCAGAAACGGCCAAAAAAAAACGAAAACACAGGAAGGAAAATCTCAAATACACTCTTCTTTTCATAAGAACAATTTTACAAGAACACTAGTATCAAATTGGTCAAAATTTGAGAACAAATCAAGAACAAGCTGAGACTGAGCTTCTGCAAAATGCAATTTGGAACAACATTTTATCTCAAAAATGAGGATTTTTGGGCATTGTGTGGGTGCTTTTTCGGCAAATATTCAAACTTTTCGGCAAATGAAGGTTGTTTCACTCACTTTGTTGGCAAACGAGGCCTGAAAACCTCCCAGAGCAAAAAAGCTAGCAATTACGCTGCTTACACCCCCTATTAATATAAGAACAATTTAAGAACAATCCAGCCTCAGATTTTCGAGAGAAAAAAGAACAGTCAGCCTGAACTTACATATACTGGTTCTTATAAAAAATGATGTATACAAACTGTCACTTACCTAACAGCTGCGATACCTAACAGCAGCCTGGGCACAAGTACCAAAGTCTAAAAATAGCTTTTTGTGATGTTTTAAAGTTGGAGTTGCATCTTATTCTACTTAGCACGTCAAATTACGCCAGGAAACAATGATGGTTTAGTATTTTTTACTCAGTTTTGCTGACCGTGCATTTTTCACGCTTTCTGAAACATTACTTCCGGTCATTTGAAAGCATGTACCTAAGACTTAAAATGATCAGTGGCCTTTACTTCCATGACTTAAACTTTAAAAATTTCGGTTAGGCAGCTTGAAAGATGGTTATGCAAAATTCCCTGTATATTATGTAGTGTTGTCGTCACATTTAGCTTAGCTTAGCCGTGCTCGTCCAAAGAACCCTTAAATTAATCCCGGCAACAAGGTGAGGCGATTTTTATGAGAGGAAACTGAATTTAGGGTGGGCAGAATAGCAAGGCAAACAGCGTTGTCACACAAATAACAAGGTGCTATACCCTTTTCAGAAACTTAAAACAATGCTTTATCTCAGTACTAAAACTACTTGCTGGCTCCTATGAATATTTGGAGGGGGAGCAAGTGGGATATGTGATTTCCACATCCTCGATGGGATTAGGGAAATTGTTTTACTGTGCCAGCTTGAATTGCTGTGCACGTCAAAAAGGCCCTTTTCTCGAAAGGGAGGGAGTGGGGGTCGGGTGAAAAAAACAACCTTTTCAACAAATGGTAGCTCAAACAAGCAAATGTGGATTAGGGCTAAATTTGTACAAGATTCTGCAAAAATCTTGAAGCCCAGAAATTGGTACATTAGATTTTCAGGTTTTGTGATTGCAAATCTAAGCATGATGTTTCTTTTTCAAAATATATATACATTTTCTATTGCAAGAAGAGAGTTTAAAGAATTATTGCCATAAAAGCTTTCTTATAATTTCGAGCCTCTCGACATTGCCGTCAGAGGACTAAGTAGCTAGAAATTTATTGCACCGTCAGTTCAAGGACTGGTACACTTATGAAATTGCAAGACAAAGCTGACAGATATCTAGTAGGTTTGTACGATCACCTAAAAAAAATCCGATGTGGCAGTGCCGTCGGAAAAAAATTCTATTGGGGGGGAGGGGGGGCTGCCCATTGTATTTCTTCTCATTCAGTACACAGTTATAAAGGAAACATACTACAGTTTGACAATTACTCCAGCCCCCCCCTCCCCAACAACCCCAGCCCCCGGTTCCGACGGGCCTGCTGTGATGATAAGGTTTTCATTTTGAATCGAACTAGAATATCCATTCACAGACCTTGATGGCGGTGATGATGATGATGATGATTAAGGATTAGACCTAAAATCAAATATTTGGCTTTCCCTTTCATCATTTCCGAAATTTTTATGTTAACTACTACCATAACCAAATATTCTCCGAAATATGAAATGTCTGAGATAAGTCGCCTAAAAAAAAAAAAATCGAAAATTTTGGTGACTAATGTAGGAATCATTTGCGCACGTTTGAGAACAAGAAAACCATCATTATATGCGAAACGGAAGCCCTGTCATCTTGTATACTTTAATTGATGCTCATTGTCCTAGTAATCTCCTCAAAACATCGCTATCTCTATTCAAAAGGTGAGAGAATTCTTCTTCCAACAAGAGCTTACAAAGTTGCTTTCTAATTTTACCAGCGATAACAAATGATATGACATGGCCTGGGTAGAGGGAGATTCCCCTGGTTTTCTTTTTTGTATGTCCCCTGTGGCGGCTAACAGTTGTTTTCGTGGGGATATCAAACGAGTAATGTGCAGATATGCAGTCGATGATTAGAAATGCTCATGAACAAGCAACACATTACATAAATAGCAATACATTGCATTGTTTTTAAGTATATAACGACTCGTTACGTGTCTGTTATAATTTGTAAATGGAACTTGTTATTGATTGCTGAAAGATGTTTGGAATACGGTGATTTTTGACAACATTTTCGTGTTGTGTGTCCTGAGAAAATCGGATATCTACAGTTTTGCACGGATAAATTTACCTTGCTTCGCTTTTTAAAGATGACCATCCTACCGGAGAGCGTGGTTAATGTTAGTAAAGATGAACTGGAAGCATTTGCCAATGGGAAAAGGGTTGGTAGTTATTTGCTGGGACGAACTATCGGACAGGGGTCGTTTGCCAAGGTGAAAGAGGCGATTCATGTTTCCACAGGAGAAAAAGTGAGTGAATACCAAATTGAATGTAACTTAGAAAATGTTATGCTTTCTTTTCCAATAAACACAGAAGTTTACCGCTCAAAGACTTTTTTGCAATAGAAGCTTCGTAATTTTTCGATTAAAATGTTTATCCAGTTCTGTCCAATTTCCGCTGCATTTTAAGCATAACATTTTTCAAATGCTCTTGCTCTCGCACCAATATCGTATTTACAAATAAACACAAACCCAGACGAAATCTTGTTATGCGATTTAAAACTCTATCGTTTTCAATATTTTCTACTCTGTTTAAAAAAGAATGTACCACTGTTATTTTCAAATTTGTGGCCCAACCACTTGAGAGGCAGTTTTTGTTCTTATACATCGAATTTATATTTTTAGAAAACAGCGAGAACATCTGACTGTGAGCAAATGCGTTTGCCATGGGGATCTGTTTACAGCCAAAATTGAAAGGAAACCTTTCATAAGTTTGCGAAATCTGAACATTGACAAACACGCTACATGCTTGCAGCCTTTCCTGCGCCTCAGTACGGTTCACACTCCCTGTGGCTTTTGATTGCTTTCCGCAGGAAAAACGAGAACTTTGATTTCTTGTAATTGCATCTTAAAAATTTTTCAGGGCGCTCTTTATCTGTTTTACGACCCATTTGGATTCAATGGGTATTTGATCCAGGAATTGGGTGTTGTAAATAAAGACAAAAAGTAGGTTCGATATCGTTTTGTCGTTGTAAAGAAAGTGGTTGAGTTTTGCATGTCACTAGTTTCTCTGCCCTTGTCAGCGTTGATTTGTGGTTGGTCAGTGGTCACTTATAATTCTGACGGGAATAATTCTTAAAGCTGTGGCATCCAAGGAGTGTTCAAAGCTTTTTATGCCCGTATAAAAAAAGTAAACCTCACAGATATATTTGATTGGATCAATCACCAATGAGTCTGTCGAATGCAGAAGCAGCCCTTCTGACTTCCCCTTTTTATCGTGAAATCAATCTTCCCTGTTCCCAAGTCCATGCTTTCATGACTTTCGACAACTACCTCACCGCCGTATGCAAAGCCCGTTAAATTCTCACCACCAAAAAGCACTTATTGCACGTTTCTCACAGATTTGCCTTATTCTTGGCTAAATATCTCATGCTCATCTAAAGTTACCATAGGATTTCAAAGTTGGATGAAATGGTATCCATATATATCCTATGCATAAATATAGCTTGTACACTATTTGCTTTTACGAAAGTTTTTGTGGTCTTTACCCTTTCATTATGTGCAAATTCATCTCTGCTCCGCTGCCAAGGGAAGTATTTTATTGCGAAATATGAAATTTCCTTCGAATCCTTGTTCATTACGCCCCTACTATAGATAAACCCAAATCGGTGCCTCTTTTAAGTGGCTACCACTGTTGCCCCCTATTGAAGCTCGGTGTCCAATATGAGCTTTTCGTAAACAAACGTGGTTAACTAAGATTTGATAACGTAAACACATTTCTACATGTTCAAGAAGATTCATTCATTTTCCCGTCCGAGACTGCAGATTTTATCACCGCAGAGACAATTTGGTCCATACTGTTCAAAACGAATTCTTTGCTCATTAGGATCGTCCCTTTCAAAGAGATAAGGAAAACTTTCCACTGTTTGCCCGCTGAGAATAAGAAACGATTTAATTTACTGATATCAAAGAAGCTCATTGCTTTGTGCCCTGGTTGTTTCTAGCTAGCATCATGCCGATGCGTTGTTGATGATCGAAAAACCGCCCCTTGTTCCAGTAATAGGCGATTGCTGCGTAAATAAATGCAACTTTTGTTGTACCTATCACTGTAATCCCATAGAGGAAGACGACATGGCGCTCGTAAATACTTCGACAAATAATGTTTGTCTTATTGATATCCCAATTTATTGCTAATTAAACATAATAAACTTCATTTCTATCTCGGGCTCCAAAGCCAGCCAAGGTAAACAAGGGGCATTAAAACTCTAGTGGAGCATCAAATCGTTTTTCGGAATATCCAATAAAGATGGACAGGTCTGCAATGTGAGCGTTTCATCTTTGGAATGCTTGTTGGATCATCCAAGATTTTGAGATCTGAGAATTGTCCAGACATGCAGCTTTCTGTTTGTATACATAAAAACCTAAGAATGTGGAAAAGATTTGAAGGCTCGAAAAGCTTAAATGAAATCCCCAGTAAGCCGTAGAAACAAAGCTGATCATATTTATTCGATTGCATCACTTGCTTTGCTCTCCATCATTTTCATTACTTGATCCCCACCAAATTCCATTGCTTAGTTACATAAAGATTAAAATCTAGGTTGATATTTTCTACGGCTCGTTTTGTACGGCTTTCCTTTTTAATATTGCAAAACCTTCAAAACACACTATTTCTGCTTGCTCAAATGTGTAACATCGAGCTTCGAGTACTCGAGTCCATTTACAAATTACCGCCAGTGGGCTGATTTTCTGTTTTGTTTACCGCTCTGAACCACAATTGAAAAAGCGTTTGTTGGCTTTTAAAAAAACAGGAAACTTGACTGAGTCGGTTTAAGCCGAAGCCGCCAGATCAGGTGTCGCATATTGACGCTGATCGCCTATTGATCCCGATCGCCTTTAAGTGCTGACCTCTGTTTGATGCCGATCGCCTTTTGGCGCCGGTTGCCTGTTGGCGCCGGTTGTCTGTTGGCACCGGTTACCTGTTGGTGCCGGTAGTCTGTTGGCGCCGGTTGCCTGTTGGCATCGGTTGCCTTCTGGCGCCGGTTGCCTGTTAGTGCCGGTTGCCTGTTGGTGCCGGTTACCTGTTGGTGCCGGTTGCCTGTTGGTGCCGGTTGTCTTTTGACGCCCATCTTATCTTAGATATTGTGTCAGCATTAGATAGAATCGATGGTGGATAATTTAAGAGTCACCTGGCGTGAGTATCAACACGAGTAGACTTTTGAGGTCTTGGTCTACCGAGACGAGAAGCTTTTCGAATCGAAAATCAATTTCATTTGTATTGTTGTACCGCTTGTTGCTTGTTATACCTTTTTAACAGTTATATTTCAGGTAAATGGTTGCCCATTCCTGCCACAAGTCGCCAAACACGAACATCGGGGAGAGCATTTCATTTTGTCTCTTCGTTTATAAACATTTCATTTTATCTGTACAGCGTGAATGAATCACACATCCATGTACCCTCAATTCATACTTGACTTTTTTCTGTTTCTCCAGCCGGTTTTTCAAGGTCATTTCTGGTTGACTCTTTTGCTCAGGGAAGATATTCTAGAAGAATCATTTAGGGCGTGAGAGCTTAACCTTTCATTAAACGATCGTGCGGTATGTTCCTTGAACTCTTGCAGTTTCAACGTTCTCGCCTTATGTCAACTGCGAAATATTCAAGGCCTCATATTCACGAGTATTTTCATTTTTCGAACACGAAATTGGGTATGCGCGAATGTTTCTTCTGTCTAAAATGCCCTCCTTTCGTTGTTTTTTGTCATTTGGTTCGATCTTTGCCAGTTCTGTAATTGACATTCGTTTTGCATGCTCTTGCTCTGGTTCTTCCTTTGAACAAGGATTCCATAAACTATGTACCAAGTGAACAAATTTTATACTGAATGTTTGTTTGTGGTCCTTTTCTTTCATATCCTTAAGCTTAAAATTCTCCAATTTCAACCTTGGTCGGCTTAATTATATCCTTTAACGACAGTGCTGGTTAGGCTCTATACAATATCATTTCCAATGTGTAGTCTACGCTATGAAGCTTGCTGTGTACTGGAGACCTTTGAAGTATTAGATAGGTCGTTTTATACGTGAGTAGCCTCTCAAAGAATTAGTGGTGCAGATTTCGAAGATCGTTTCGAATGGGATTTATCTTGGCATCTTAATAGTCACTTTCAACTCATGATGTCCTCTCTCGCTCCTTCGGAGGGACGTCCAGCCTCTCTCCGCTTAGAGACGTAGTGAAGAAAACAGCAAAAGAAACTGTTTAAAGAATGAAATTTTGTCCATGTCCAGGAGCAAGTTCTTGACGCCATCTTACGATCCTCATCTAATCATCATCCAATGTGACAGATTTTCTATTTTTGTCATCATGGGTAATATTATTGACAGAAAAAAATTCGTCAAATTATTCAAGAAAATGGTAGATTTTAATTATAAAAAGGGAATGGTAGATTTTAACCAGAGGTATTTGTCACTTTTTGGCGTTTTCATGGAGGACAGTACCCTCGACGTCGCCCGCTCAACGCCAATCCTGTCATTATTGCTCTAGAACGGAACCCTTGATAGTGTTATTCTTGAGACCAGAAATATCTTCGCACTCCTTCTGGACAGTTTCTTCGAGCTTTGAAAGCTTTCCTAAGAAAAAAAATAGAAACTAGGCCGGGGTTGGGTGGGGTTTTGGTGGGGTTCTGGCGCGGTACTCTCATTTTATTTGTTTCCATTTTGTACTTACAAGTAGGATTGTTGTATCTTCTTAACTCTGCACTGAAAAACTGTTAGCTATGACAATTTTAATTGTCATTAGGAATGTTTCCTTCAGTAAGCTTTACCACGGACAACTTCACATAATTCCAATATGCTGATTTTGATCACCTATGAATGCATATAAGTATGAGAAAAATACCATCTGGGCTGGTCATCTACAAGTGTGAACGCTAGTTCCTTTTTGCACCGCTTTGCAGTTGCAACTATCGGACTTGGTGTGATAAAATTAGTTTAATTTTCAACTTAGATCTTTGGCTTATTCTTTAAGCAAGAAGAAAAGATTCATTGTAGTCGGGTCCAATATTTTTAGTGTTCTGCATTCTTTTATTTATCAATGCTTGTCAAGTAAGGTGATGTATGACAGTCTAGTGTGTGAAGATTTAGGCCAAATCGCACATCGGATAGCGCACAGAGTGACATTTTGCGGAAGTCTGCAAGTTTATTCTGCAGAACCCAGGAGAGGTTGAAATTACAATGCAAACGATGCAATAAAGGTTATTGAGGAAGGCATTAAAAATAATTTTTCCGAGGGATTGATGAATATTTTAACACACTAGTTCTGATTTTAACACACTAGTTCTGATGAATAACAGAGTTCTGTTTGTAGGGGCTTGAAAATTTGTCTGTTCTTCTAGTATACGCAGTCATGGACGTAGAAACATGGGGGCGGGGGTCAGCATGGGGAGCGTATGTCCCAATTTTCGAAAAAATAGGTAAGGTGCCTCTATGCAGCTCATGAAGGTGCTTGTTTTCTCTTGCACATGCCATCTTCCACTGTGAAAACGCTATCTACGTCCTTGTACGAAGTTATCACCCGCAGCTGTTTGTTAGGATGGAAGCAACAAACCGGACTTTCAGGAAGATGTTTTTAACAAGACCCTTTGACCATTGCTATAATGTTTTGCTACGATCCTATATTGCATCTGCTCTGCTAATGGGCCCATCGTGTGGTGAAAATGCACAGTGAACCCTCTCATTAACGCTTAGCTCAGCTGCCCTAGTGGTTTTCTCTCTAAAGGCTGATTTCCACGAGGCGAATTTCGCAGCGAATTCGCGGCGAAATCGCTGATGAAGGCAGCAAGGCATGCGCAGTTTTGATTTTTGATTTCGCAGCGAATTCGCAAGAAAGTAGAAAAGAGTTCTACTTTTTCTCGGCGAAATATTTCGCAGCACCTAATAACCAGTCAAAGCATGGTAAATTTGCTTGATTTGTTAAAAAATAATCTAGGAACATTCGTCATGCATGCAGTTCTTAAAATAGGCGCCTTAAAGTTGAGTTTTGGAGGAAATTATTATATAATTTCGCAGCGAATTCGCAGTCTCGTGGAAATCAAAGACAATTTCGAAGCGAATTCGCCGCGAATTCGCTGCGAATTTCGCCTCGTGGAAATCAGCCTTAATACACCACTTTTCAATTTTCTCTAGTGTTATTAGATCACCTATTAATCGCTTTAGATTTTCCGGTAATACCATTTATGATCAATAAGCTATTTCTTATTTTTCATTATCGATGTGTCCTTTAACAAGTGTTAAACGTTTCCGGAATTAGGCTAATGTGACTGTGAAAATTTATCGATTGGATAATATTAGAAGGGAAAAAATTAAGCAACAAGGAGAACATATTTTAAACAAAATGTATTTTTCAGAGGTTTTTTGTGTTTTGAAACGAACAGATTTTATCTTTCCGCACCATGTTGCATTGAGATCCAAACTCCAAAAATTTTTTTTTCGTAATGCATTACAATTTTAGATGCAAGGAACTTTGCAAGTTGCTATATCCTTTACATACATGACTGGAACATGTGCTAGGAATACGTTAAAACATAGAACTTATGTTAAATTTGTCATAAAAGCAATACCAAAATATATTTAAAGCCATACACAAAAATTTGATATTCAGCTTTTCTCGCCGGGCATACGGGTGTGGTTGCTCCCTTGCCCTTATGAAATTTTCTTGGTATCTTGCCATTGCAACTTTTTACACAATCAGTCTGTAACAACCTCTTATTTTTAGCAGTTTGTGTTCAGTTCGAGAACTAAGGGTTTTGTTAGATATCATGTACTGCAAAGAAGTATTTGTAGATATTTTTGTAAATGGTAATAATAAGAGGTTGCCACAAAGTAGATTCTTGGCATCTTTTTACATCAGCTTTCTCGCATTTTGCAGGCTAGCAGAAAAGTTCGTTCGCCTATTCGTTGTTTACATTAGAGAAGAACTAACTCCATAGATCATAGGCAGGCACAGATAAAAGCACGTCTTTCGGGAAAAATATTTCGACCAATCTAAACCCATCATCTTTGCATGAGAAAATGGGTAACGATGCCATCTTTTTGTAATGAGATGTATCCGGATTAAAACTGCTCAGTTCGTATGTAATAATGCTAAACGACTTAAGTTGCTCATAATGCGGGCTTAAGGTAATTTACCGTTTTTGTCTGTAGAGCACGAAAAGGCGGTATTGCCAATGCTATTACATGCAATTTAGACTTGTATTCTGTATTCAGACAAAGTCTTGTATTCAGTTGTACGTTTTAATTCGATATTTCTGCATGTTTGCTTGCAGCTTTCTCGACGTCTGAGCCCTTTGTTGCACCTAAGACCAGTTAATGCGAGGAAACCAGTAATACTTTGAAAATTATCAATTGAAATTTTAATTCCTCCGTATATAATAATTAGGTCTTGATTTCCCCTCCTATTTTCAGAGAAAAGAGTGAAAAGGTCTTTTGACACTTAAATGATCTTGTGCAATGGACATGCTTTTCGGCAGCTGTTTTCTTACGTAGGGAAAACTGGCCTGTATTTTGTATTTTCGTGCAGTCCGATATTTGGCCGGTGTCGAAAATATAGTCGCAAGGAATGTCGGTGCGCAAGAGCCTAGTTTGAGATATGGGGGAGAACTGTGTTCCAAGAACGGCAAAAGATCCCCAAAATATATATCAAAACTCCTACTGCATTTGTTTGGGTTGTCAAAAGTTCTACATGAATGAGAAGTATCAGAAGAGAAAGAATAAGAGGGGGGGGGAGGAGTCAAAAGCTTTAGGGAAGCGCGTTGTATCTTGGTAGAAATGGGCTAAAACAGTATGGTGTGCCTTCCAAAAGATTCTGCTAGCCAACGTCGTTTTTATTATCTTTGCCTTACAAAATGTATCCGAAACATCTTGTTGCTCGAGATGTCAAACACTTTTCTGTATAAAGACTTATTGTATAAAGATTTCTTGAATTATTGTATAAAGAATAATTCAAAATTGGAACGAATTACATGTCTAAGAATTCTTCAAAAACTGCTTACTGACTTGAGGGGCATATTACTTTAATCATTTTTAAAGTGGGGTGGGGGTGGGGCAATGCCCACAAAAGCAAGCAAATTTGCCGAAAAATGACATAATTTCGCCGACAAAACCAACAATTTGGCAAAATCTGGGGGGCGGTTGCCCCTCCACACCCCCGCAATTTCCGCCACTGACTTTTAGTATCATTAACGTTTGACATCATTTTTCGGTATGGTGTTTTTATTATGATTTGTCAAAAAGGCTAGTTTTGTAGCGTAATGGTAGAGCAAAAGAAAAGCTTACTACATGCCGTGAATGGGTGAAGTTGAATGCATGTTAAACGTTAAACTCGGAGTAGCGACTTAGAACTGTCCTGTTCTATTAACAATCAGTGTTCACAGCTCTGCCTATATGGCATTGAGCACGTTATGACAGACTGGTTGGTAAACAGTAATTCATTGAAGTTGAAGTTTGATACATAAGAAATTTCATTTAACAGTATTTCATTGAAGTTTGATATATATAAAAAGTTACTGTTTACCGGTCTTTGATAAAGTGCTCAATGCCATATAGGCAGAGCTGTACACGCTTTTGGTGTTACTCCAAGTTTCACGCTTAATTCGATCATATGGGAACTGTAGCGTATTTCAAACGTCTATTCAAGTATACTTCTACTCGCACGCGCGTTCTCTCTTCTCTAAACTTGAATGTAAAGAAAACGGCGAAAGATGAGATTGGGTATGTTAGAAGGCAGCGTGTCACCAGACCTGTGGTCAGCCCTAAGAAGGCGAAGATTAGGCCTAAGTTCGCAAGAATGCGTTGCCTTCCATTGCTAACTTACGGCTAATTTGATCGCTTACTTGTGGTTCTTGACAAATTTGGCCCTATAGCTAGTGATATATTTACGTAATTATATTGGATCTATCTTTTGCTGTTAGGTCATTCTTAACGTTAATCAATTATTATCCTTTTTTATTTCTTAAGGTCGCAATCAAGATGATTAACAAGCGAAAAGCCAGGGAAGACCGCTACGTTAGCCGAAATTTGAAGAGAGAAGCAGATTTAATGCAAAGATTACGTCATCCACACATTGTGAGGCTGCTTGAAGTAATGGAGACAGATAGCTTCTACTATTTAGTAACGGAGCTGTGTACTGGAGGAGAGCTTCTTGATCTCATTTGTGAGCGAAAATATTTAGATGAGAACACAACGAGAAAGTACATTCAACAGCTTTTATCAGCCGTTAACAGTATGCATCATAGCGGAGTTGTACATAGGTAATTTATAGCATTCTCACTTTGGCCAGACGTGCGTATAATGTTCTACTCAAATTTTCCTTGCCCCAATGAAAACAAATAGTTTTCTTCTGCTACAATGCTGCGGTAATCTTTTTCTTTTCAGGACTTTTCAATAATTCCTACCCTCAAAACAGGCTTAACTTCGTCTGTAAAAACGTCCGGGTAAAAATCATAATTTTGTTACTATGTCCATGGTATGCTATGTTTCCATTACTGCGTGCCATCTTCAAGTTTTGTTACTGGAGAACTTTTGTTTAAAAAACAACCTTTAGCTGAAAAACTACATGAAATTTTATCGTTCACTCCTGCAACCGTAACTTTTCTGGACTATGAGTAGAAACGAGGGAAGAATTTCATGTCAAAGGGACAATAAAATATCGGTTAAAGCGAAAAATTATATCGTTTAGGCCAAATATTAACGCCCCCTCTCTGCAAAAGTCTTAATGTGTTCCTGCAGGCTCAGGATTTCATCCGATTTGTTAGCGTTACAGTTTAATACACTTCCATTCAGGGTGTGTAGTTTGTTTCAAAGTAACGTCAAAGTTGCAGTTTCTTGCAAATTTAGCAAATATCTCAAATAGTGTAGCAATGTTTTTTTACCGCACGTATGTTCGGCATAGCAACTTTCACAACCCACAAATCAAATTTAGATTCTTCTCTTTATTTAGCAGTTCAAATTTGGCCTGACCACCCAGGATGTTTCTACTACAACGAATTATGTATTTGCTTACTGATTGGTTTTGCATTTTTTGAAATTTTGCTGTAATTTTCTAGCCTCTTACTTAGAATTGTTTACCTTGCAGAGATTTGAAGATAGAGAATTTTCTGTTGGATGAGAAAGATAATCTCAAGATTGTCGGTGAGCTTTTTCGATGAATCCCGTATTGATCTTGTCACATCCTTCTTAATGCCTTGCATCTTACAATTTTGGCACTCCTTCCTATACATAAAGATCTGAAGCATGTCTTGGTTGGACGTGGGCACCATTATGAATACGATGTTAACAATCAGTGTCCAGAAATGAGTTTATCTTTCTTGCAGAAGATTTTACAAAAGCTTTGAAGTTTTCCTGAGAAAGCAGGGAAAACTAAGAAATGTTGATTTGTTTTGTTTGCACTGGACCTCTTCATGGCTTTTGTTCTTGTGACCGCCATGTTTTGCTGGCTCTGCTACCTGCATGTTGTTAAGATGGTCGGATAATGGGGAGATATACTCCACAATAATATTTTGGTAGAGAATGTCGACATTGGTACGTGAATCGACTTGATGTTCATGTGGTCTATCACCAGATGACTTTGCTATTATGAAGGGAAGGGTGTATTCAGCCTTTTCCCATTTTAGCCATTTTTTCACTTCTATGACCTTTAATGTTAAGCCGTAGCAGTTCCTGTTGAATGACCCGACCTGCCTCTGCAACAAAAAGAACTCTTGAATCCCTTTTCCAGTCTTAACCTATCCTTTCTCCAGTCTTGTATCCACTCAGATTTTATTCGTGTTCTTTGTTCTTTAGAGACGTATTTGTTCCTTGCCTTATGGAGGAGTCTCCTGTCAGTATACTCTATTTAAGCTTCCATACTTTTGCTATGTTTATTAGAGTTCAGAAGTATTTGCTTTCTTATGGATTCTGATTGAAACCGCTCTTTGCATACTACCGACATTGTTATGACGTAAAATCTGTTTGCTCGATGAAGATTTTCAGAGATTCGCTAGAATACCAAGCTTTATTTTTTACTCAATAAATGCAATCATTAAATTGTTTTTTATAAAGGGAATTTGCTATTACGTCAAAGTTATTTACTTGAATATTCAGAGAAAGGCATAGGTAATACATTTAAAGAGATCGCCTTCATTGTTATCAACAACCATTTTGAAATAGTCTCGTATTGTTCATACAGTACTTTAACTACCAACGACTTGAAAAACAGGAAATTTTGAAATCCCGCGCCTATAAGAATAGGATAAAAAATGTATCGTAGTTTCCCGCTGGAGGAAACAAAATTCCATTCCAAAGAAGATATAGCCGGGAAAGGAAGCTATGTTTAATTTGCTTGAAGGGATAAATCTTTCGCAAAGGAGTCAAAAATGAGTAGAAATAAAACTTAAATTGACACCGACTAACAAAGCGTCGCAGCTTTATCATTGGTTGAGATTTCTTAATAGCTTTACGACTGTGGTCGTGGAATCCCCAATCACAGTTGCCGAAAACCGCACAGCATCCTGAACGCTGCTAGAGCCTATCGATATATCAGCCATGGGCAGGGTTGCTACCGCCTTTTAATGGCATCAGAGATTTGCTGCTTGGGCATTAAAAACAAAGAAAGTATAAGAATGTGGGGTGCTTAAAATGCGCTGTTTTAAAAAGGCTGGACCCGACAGACGCGCTGCTTGTCATTTATTTCCAATGTTTGAATGACTTTTCAAATAGACGTCTTTGTAACTTCTCTATTGGGTATATGCTAAGCAAATTGGGTTTTCAATCCACTTACCTTTTTAGATAACTCGCAAAATTTTAAAACTATATGCTTTTTTAAAGACGAAAATATTTTTGCAACTTTATGCTAGCAGGTAATTGTGCTGTGCGAATGGCCTAAATAGTTTTAAACCTGGTTTCAGCAAAAGTAGCGCTTTAACGATAAAGAGAATCACACTCGATTCAAAGCATAAAGATTTGAAAGAAAGTTCGGCTGAAAATTTTGATCAAAAGGGTTATCAAAGTGAAAATACTCCAAGACAACAACCTTCTTTTATTCAAGTTAAAGAAGACTGGTAAATTGAAGCCAACATCAAGTGATTTATTTTCTTTATTACAGATTTTGGTCTGAGCAACAAATTACCGTCTTCAGCTCTTGAGGCATGGGAACGAATCGGTATGTGTCCGTTGCTATTAACAACCCACTGTGGATCTCCAGCGTATGCGGCACCAGAACTGCTGGCCCAAAAGGCCTACGGTGCTCAAGTTGACATCTGGAGCATGTGAGTAGTTTAATGTGATTTCAGCAGTTGTTCTTGACGTGAAGTTTAATTATCGAGTTTGGTCCAGCTCAGGATTTTCTCCGAAAAACTTGTGCTACTGTTGCCTTTGTTGAATTTCTTTACTCTCTTCATTTACACTCCTTTTATGTGATCGATGAATTCATAGGTATTTAGCCTGGATTAAGTTAAAGAATCAGCAATTTGAGGGCTCGACGAACAAGTGGCATGAAATGCATGAAAGTAACTAAACATCAAAGTTGTAAGGTATTTTAATTAGGCTGTAAACTTGTTGTTGAGCAAGTCGATTCTACCTTGGAAAGCAAAGTTTCCTAAAATGTTTCACTAGAGGTTGCGATGAAGTTGTCAACCTTCTTGTAAATGGCTAAGCAATTTTAAACACTAGTAGAAAGTTTGCTAATAAAAGGAAAGTGAATCAGATTGCAGGGAAATAGAATCGACAATACTGCTTTATTGTTTACTACCAAACCATATTTAAATATAATTAAATGTAACTAAAACTTCTTAGATTAACTTAGAAATGGCACTGTTCATATTGAAGATATAGGAACGTTCGTAGATCTTTAAAGCCTTTAGTTCAGTAACATGTCTGCAAAGACACTTTATTTATGATTGAGAAGAACCAGCATATGAAGGTTATTAAATGTCAAGCTGTTGCTTCAACCGCAAGAATGCCTCAAAATTTTATCTTAAGCCTTTGTGCCTTTTTAATTAAAATTTCCGACAGGCTCCAATCCTCATTTTCCCTGCCACTTTTCCCAAATCTTGAGGATTTTTTAATAGTTTTGAGGTTAAAAAATAAGTTTTGTTCGCATATGACGTTTGTCGAGTTGACAGACTGCATAGAAATTTATGACTGGAGATTAACATATCTCGACACCCACTTGGATTGATGGGAAAGTCTACATTTTTAGAAGATAAGAAGAGCTTTGTGACAGTAGTAATACTTCAAAGGCGCCACCTAGACGTTATCTCGAGGATATCTTTGCTTTCTTTGGATTCAACTGTGGATGTCATATGTCTTTATTAATATTAGTTTGACAATCTACCCGTTAATTAAAAGTAACAGAAATGATTGACTGTAAGGATAGTTTGCATCTCCCACCCAAGGCCCAGAAATTGCCCCGTTCGTGAGATACAAATGTTAAATTCATTCGCAATTTCACAAAAGGAAATCCATGTTTGGCCTTATGTAATTACGTTTTCTTGAAGACCAACCTCATAATCATCAGACGTGGTAGCAGCATATTTTTCTATACCGTGCTAGCAACCACTGCCCACTGGCATAATCCTTTTGAACGCCCTGTAACAAAAGAGCTGTTTTGAAGATCAAATTTTTTTGGGAATTGTAGGGGAGACTACTCTCTTCCCCTGTAGACAACGGTTTTTAAGTGGAGCTCTCTATCATAACTGTCCGATAGGAATCAATTTGACAACACTGAAACCCTGAAGTTCATATTAAACATGATTATTTGGCTGGGAAGAAGGAAAGCCGAGTTAAATTTGCAAAACGCCAGAGATTACTTGACAATAAAGCACTTACTTATAGTTTGAGGGGATTTAACCACCTCGATCTGCTTTCTCTTTTGAATTTGAATATCTGACTCGTTTATCTTGTCTATTTCGAATGACGTCATGGAAGTACTTTTTTGGGCTACTGAGGGAAACTTTAATTTCTTAAAAGCTGATGTTATGACCACGGTGCCACACATGTTTCTTTTGCCTACATAAAGAAGTCTCCTTGGCAAAAATCGTAAGAGTGTCATATTAATTTGCGGATGCCAGTTACAATTTTGGAGTTGGTATGTTGCCATGTCGAATTATTGCATGGATAAACATGGGGAAACGCCCTCTGATGTGGGTTCCTTATGCACACGACTGTTTCGTGCTGGACATACCCTGTATCAAATAAGCTATCTTGACGACACAAACTAAGCCTCTTTAAGCAAATCCTTCTTGATGGACTTAATATCTCCTTTCTGAGCACAAAAATCCCTTTTTTAACCATGGTTCAAAAAAGAGCACCGCTCCTTTGTAGATACTATCCTTATAAAGTTAACACGAACATATTTTTCTTCAACTCATGTTCAAGATACCCAAGCCCTGTTGACTTCTTTCTTCATCTTCTTATACGTCATACCAGGAAAAATACTCTAGCAATGTTTCATGATGACATGTCTATATAATTTCCCGTTTTTGTTTCCATTTTGCAGTCTTTTGGTAACTGAGGTCGTTTTGTCTTTTAGTGGCGTTAATATGTTCGCAATGCTTACTGGGAGTCTTCCATACAACCTAGAGAGGTTCAATATCATAGATATGTACCAGAAGATGATGGATCGCCGAATGACGCCACTTCCGCAATATATAAGCCAAGGTTAGTATAACATAGTATCAAGGTTAGCCTAGGTATAAGCTTCTTTCTCTTTTCATTGTACCCCTAGTGCCAGAACAGGTTATGCTCATCCAAAGGAGGTGAGGGGGTCTGTTATAAGAAACTTGGTTGATAAGAAATCTGATTGGTTCTGTGCCTCCTTTTATGGATGATAACATTACTTTTTCAATTTAAACACCAACCAAATTCATCATTTGCGGAAATTATAGTATTGTATATGTCCTTCCTACCATGTTGCAGCTACAGCACACGGCTAAAAGCACTTTGCCTATGAGATTCAGTATTTTATAAACCCTTCAAATAATTCTGACCAGTGTTCTTTGCTTTTTCTTCATTATATCGTTTTCAAATTTACTCACCAAACAGCCTTATAAACTGGTACGCAAACATTACTTCGAGTTTATGTCTTGTTTCTTCCTAAGATTGTTTTACTTCAAACCGCTACCATACTAAGTACATTTTGAAGTAGATTTTGGGGATTTTCCCCCAAAAATGCTCTCTCTCTCGGTGTCTTGGCTCACTTTTAATCACTGACTGTCTTTTTGTGGTACAGAATTTAAAATGGCTTTAAAAAAGCAAACATTTTGAAACACAGCACTAAAGCTTTTCGTCTGACACTCTTTGGAGCATAAAACGTCAGAACATAGATCGAAAGCTTTCATGTTTCGTTCAAGCTTTCATTGGCGACATGTTTCAGATTATTGGTAGAGCCCGATCGTCGTTCCAGCCAACAGTATTGGAATTTATCTACTTTAACATGAAAAAACCACTATTGCTTAGAGAGAATGAATTTGTTTTCAACTTAGGACTCCATTGACAACATTTTCAATAGGCAAGCGGCTCTGATTGGGCAACCTACATTCAAAGTCTTTTCTTTTTTCAAAACCATTTTTAGTAATTTCTGCCAGTTTTTCTAAGCTAAAGTGCAAAGAATTCCACAAACCAGATGATCGTGATCAAACATGATAATGTTTTTAAGAAAATCGTGAGATTTTTAAGATCTTTTTAAGATGGATATTCATGTCATTATCCTTTCATTGTTGAGAAAGCTTTAGTAGATTTTCAATTTTTAGAAGAAATCCAGGTTTTAGGATTGTCATTTGAAGATAACGAGTGAAATCGATTATGATTTTATTACAGTTTACGTCTAAATTGCTTAGCCAAGAAGAATGTTTAATTGACACTAATATACTTGAGTTCAGTTTGCGGCCAGTATCAAAAGGGATTCCACGAAGATTTTGTGCGAGTTTATGCACGTCAATTTATGTGTTATTGTTGAATGATGGGTGTTGTCTGCGCAAATATTCTCGCTATTAAGTCACTGATTCGGTTTCTGTTCTGAAATTTTGTGTGTTTTCTAGCTAGGAGCTCTTGTGGGTGTAGTTGATTTCGTCAATGAATTTTGTGTCTGAAGGCGGGTTTCCACTTGATTTGCTCTGGTCATTCATATAAACTAATGTACATTTAGGCTTACGCAATTGTTGCTTTCTCGTTTACTGTGAATACGCAACCATTTGCTGAGTAAGTAAGTAGTAGAACTACCGATTGTCACTGACATCCCGTGAATTTAAGTGGCAACCAGCAGTAGTCTTGATATTCTATCCATCCCTTGTCCTTGTAATAAAGCTCGGTGCTGGTCTACAATTACTGTTATTCCCCTTTCTCTTGTATTTTAACCCTTCAGGGCTGGTCGTATGTTCCAGGGCTTGTTATGTTATCCTTCTAATTTCTGCAGATATCCTCGCCATTAATCTGCTGTAGCGCAACTAGCCTCATCAATTTGCTCCCTTTTTTGGCTACATAGAAAGCAATCAACAACCGTATTGTCATTATAGTCGTTGTTACGCCTTTTCTTCATATAAAGACACTGTGTCCTGCTTAAAGTGATTGTGAGATGTCAGCCTATAAAAGATATGAAAAAGGAAAGCAATTTTACCTTATCACTGAGAAAACAAATTCATATTAGAATTATGAAGTGAGAAAAAAGTGAAACCTGATCCACGTGCTGTATTATCTTGATCCAGTTTATAAAGTACATAACCAACCTGTTAACGGCCTAAGCTAGATAGCTCCATACTGTACCTGAGTCGTGTTTATTACAGTATTGATGTAGTATTCTTCTTCTGTAGTTTACGCATCAATTTCCTGCGTGTTATTGCACTGCTGACCTCCTTTAAATATGCTTTTGTTCCTTATTTCTCAGAGGCTCGTGACTTGTTAATGCAGTTTTTGGATCCACTACCAGAAACTAGAATCACTCTGGAAGCAGCGTCAAATCACCCTTGGCTCAGGACCTCAGCCAAGGTGCTGCTGCGCAGTGGTAGCCTGGGTAGCAGACTGGCACTAGAAGTTAACCAGGACATAGCTTTACACATGGCTGATAATATGGGGATGAGTATGAAAGAAGTGGTGAATTCAGTCACCCAAAACAGGTAAGATGGCTTTTATTGTTCTTTTAAAGGGCTTTTAGGCCAAGAAAGGGGTTGTTTGTGCAATGATTCGTAAGGATATTTTCAAATACTCAGTAGTATATAACAGATATAGTTGATTAAGTATATTCAGCTTTTGGTAACTTGTATCAGAAGGTGAGAACATGAGACGAAGCTTAATTGCGATGTGAGACTTTCCTGTGGCTGATATCTTCAGTGACTTGTTAACCCGTTCTTTGTCTTTACTTTTCAGAGCATGTCATTCGTTTGCAATTTACTATCTTCTAAACGAGCGATTCAAAAGATATGAATTACAGAAGAGGCAGAAGGATAAAGGACTGCTAGGGGAGTCATCTTTTGCAAAAGTTAAAGTTGTAAGGAAAGCTAAATTGAGAACGGATGTCAGCCCGAAGAGCAAGTTCACCTACAAAGGTGTCAAGATCACGAAAGATGGTTTATCACAGACCTGTATTATGGATGAAAATGGCGACAATTTTGCAAGATCTGATGGAGAAAGTGTAAGTAATTTTGCCATGTTTGACGCATGACTGAAAAAATTAAGTTTTTGTGGTAAGAATCAATTTGGTTCAATTTCTGTGTGCTGGGATCCTCTTTCGTTGACTACGGGTATTTTCAAGCATTTGAACTCAGTAATTTTCTTTCAGGAGCAAGATTTAACTGCCATTTACAGCAGCAACGATGGCTGGAACCAATATGCAACCTTTCCACGTGATCGTCGCACCTCAAGTTCTACGTCATCAAAATCGAATTCTAATCGTTTAGTCAACGCGACACTTGATAAGGGCTCTGATGACATCGATTATCAACGAAATTCGTCTCCTGAAACCACAGATAACTCCACAAGCAGCCTGGAATCCGCGCAAATTCTAAGAAACAAACTTTTAAACATGGAAACAGTAGATGTGTCCCTTCCAAGAAGTCGATCAAGAAAGGAAAGTGGCAGCGATGAAGAGCAGTTTTCAAGAGGCAGATCAAAAAGTCTAACGGGAAGAGAGGTGAGAGGGAACTTATTTTGTTCTGGTAAAGTGTTTCTTGTGCATGTTGCATTGCTTCCAGTTTATTTAGATTACTACTCACCTTAAATTCCAAAACGATGCCTTGGGGGGGGGGGGCATTCTATACAGTGTAAGTTTTGAAAGTCTCTTGTTTTAGTGGCCATATATGTATTCACTATGGGATGAAGGTAGCATGGCAGACGTCATTTTACTAGGTAGCATGAAAGGCGTCAGCAGAATTGATGCTCTCTTGATTAAGTCTTATCTCATGCCAAAGTTATTCTCTCGTAGAAGATATCTGGATTACTAATTTGATCACTCTCAATTACGAAACTGCTTTCAGTTTTGTAGATCTATGCTACCTTTGAAAATATCTAATATTTTTCACTTCCAAGTTTACTTCTTATGGCGGACTAAGTGCCGTTTATGCCAGTGTGCCTGACTCCTTGGGTGTCTGGGTGTCTTGATGCCCGAGTGCCTGGGTATCTTAATGCCCAAGTTCCTGGATGCCCGAGTACCAGGGTGCAAGATGCCTTGATTACCTACCTACTACCTATTCCAAGCAACTTGACACCATGTGTTGACATACTGCAATATTGCTCTATTGTCACAAGGACAAGGAAAAAATAGACTAACTGCTACTCCAAGTTTAACGCGTTATGACTAAGTATTAGCTGCAGCTATATCTATAGAGCATTGATCACCTTACAACAGATTTGTAACTTTATTCGTGATTATCTTTGTAACTTTGTTCAATTACATTACTACTAGATTGACGAACAATCTTTTGCTAATCTCACTTTTTTGACGTTTCAGGAGTATGATTATTCGCACAACCCCTCACCTTACATCGGCAGATCCAGAGCATTATCAATCGCAAATTCATTTCATCACATGGAAGCACCTTCCACAAAGCATGCTGTGTCCAACACTTTAAAGAACAATAGCCTCCAGTTTCGTACAGTAATTTCTCATCCGAAAAGCTTTAAATTACTTGAAGCAGATTTCAAAGACTTTGTTATTATTGAAAGGCAAGAACCTACAAGGGAAAACTGTCACCAAAAAGAAGGGACTTTAACAGTGAGAGATACACATGATTTGAATCTAAATAAGGACACTGATAACAATTCTGGGAAAACAGGAAATTCTTCTCATCGCAAAAAAGGCATCCTTAGATTAAATCAAACAAAAAGTGAAGAAGCAAAGGCATTAGATTCTAGTCAAGCAGTTAATGAAAATTTCACAGAAATTATTCCTCCACCAACTCCATTTAAAGACCGTGATTTAAAAGTGAACATAGAACTTGTTCAAACTCGTAAAGCCCCAAGTTGTCAAAAAGAAGCGAAGCTTGTATCGAAGCTCGAGAGAAAGACGGTTTCAGGAAGTAAGAGTGGTTCTAGTCATAGAGACAGTCGGCATATAAAAGGCAAAACCCGGAGTAGCGGGGATGGAGATAGTAAATTTCGAGAAGGAGTACCAAGAAGCCGTCGACAATGTGTACCGAGCAATTATGGCAATGAAAGCAGGGAGGTTAACCCTTTGCGAGGTGAGAGGTGTACAGGAGATGGGGACGGCACACCTTTGGAGAGTCATCAACAAGGATCAAAAGGCAAGAATCGCACTAGGGATAGAAGATTCAGTACCACAGACGTTGAGAGTCGAAGGCACCCACCTGATAGCAACCACAGCTCTAGAGGTTTGGAAGTTAGTCAAGTTGAAGGGAAGAAATTAAAAAAAATTGAGCTAGAGAAAGTGAGGAAAGTCGCCCTCGAGCCATTACGTAATTCTCCATTGCAAATTGCACCAGGTAAGATATATTTTGTGCTTCTGAAAAACACGCCCGTTTTTTCTTGCTAAAAACTTGAAATAGCTAAGAAGTAGCTACTACAGAAAAACCCTCGAATTTTTTACCAGACCCCTCTTAACCCTTGATGCTTTGATAAAGATATGTAATCTATTCTTTCATTATAGACAATAGCCAAAAAATGTTTGTGAAAAGGCATTGAGTAGGGAATGTCCAAACTGCTAAGAACTTTGCAATATCTCCAGAAATAATTTTTATGTCCAAAGATATTAAGCTACCATATTAAGTAAAAATATATTAATATTCCGCCGTAGCACACTGGGTCTCATGAGAGTGAATCTGACACACGTATCGAGAACAGGACTCGTTTTGACATGAAAACGAGTACATGCTCGAAATGTTATTCTATATTTTTACTTAATTGATTCGCTCATTATTTTTTCATTATTTCGGTAACAAACGCAACTTACATATTTTACTTTTTTCTAGTTCTTCAAACGGTGTCGCCATTTTCGTTACAAAGTGTTAGACAAGAAACCATGCCTAGCCCAGAGGTCGTTGTTGAAAGAATTCAATCAACTACAAAACCTTTTATCGACCTCAATAACAACGAACATGTAAACAACAACACAAAAGACAAGAAAACTGGCGCAACCCGTCTTGAAAGTCAGCCATTTAAGCTGAACGTTGTTAAACTTGCCAAATGCCAGTGTATACCTGTGTTTCGCCCGGAGGTTGTTGAACCATTGCAGCTTAAGATAGGCAGAAAAGGTGTTGCCATGCCACTTACGTCCTCCAAAAGAGACTCGGCATTATCTTTACTCAAAGAAGCAGTGAGTACCCAGAATCCATACCGAGGCTCCGTAACGGATGAAAAAGTTCGGCGCTTTGTCGCTCAACAAGCAAGGCGAAAGAATGTTAGTAACAGTGGTAATAGGGAAACTTTAGCAGATACAACAAGCAAAACACAGACTTACACAAGAGACCGCAGATCAAGGAGTTTAAACGAGATCGATTTCTTAGAACAAATTGAACGCCAAGAGAAAAGCCTCCCAAAACATAGGCTATGTTATCGAACTAACAGTGGCGGTAATTTTACGAAACTAGACTCAGAAAAATAGAAATTATCCTCTATTGGATTCGAAAAGCTAAATGCCAGATAAGTTCTTTTTTGTAAAGAAGAGAGTGATGAAATTGTGAATAATCTAAATAATAGTAACTAATTGTATATAAGATCAAATTAATATTATTATTCTGCAATTTTTTGTGTACCTTAAAGTTTATCATGTAAATCAGTAAGCTGGAGTAAGCTTATTTATATCTTATTTTTGTAACCAAACGTCAAAATAATTTCGCATCCACTGTTCAGACATATTTATGTAACGAAATCATTATTATTTCAAACGTTTTGTAATTTTCTCGAATTCCAAAGGACTTCTATACAGCCTGTTAAGACGTTCTAGATCTTACATGTGAATAATCTGCTCAATTTCTAGATGGTTAATTCTATGACCTTATAACGTGACATTCAAACTTGTGTCTGATAGATAAATTTTGAACGCCTTCTCAAACATAGATATGTTATTTAAGAGCGTATAAAGCTAAGCAAATGCCATTTACCAATCTGAATCCTGAATGCACTTAACAAGAATCCGCTTGATAAGAACCTTTTTGGTAACAGGAAACTTTTTGTTCTCTGATTCACAGGCACCAGTTATACAGGTGGCTCTATTGTCCATTCGATTGTTATCTAAATATTGAATTGAACTCTACTTCTACCAATTTGGCTTTTTGCAAAATCACGCTTATTTTCATGTCAAAATCAAAGAGGTAAGGTAAACGCATTATATATGTTGTGGTACAAAATTTTAAGAACTGCTTTAAAAAAGGGACAGTTTAAGACAGTTTAAGACATATTCGAGTTTTTCGTTCGCCCCTCCCCCCCCCCCCCTAAGAGCACAAAACGTTAGAAAAAAGTGATCAAAAATTGTCTTGAAATGTTTTTGTAAAGCTTTTAACATGACTTCTTAAATCTTCAAGTCAATGTCTAGTGGATGAAATCGTCACTTTAAAAGCTTTGCAATGGGAGAATGAAAAGCTCTTCGCCCCATGCGACGCATGGTATTTCAATGTCATCACAAGGCAAAATAACTCCAACACATTGAAAATACAGAACAACAGAACATGATATCTAAAAAGTAGCTCTCAAAATAGCTTTCACAATGAAATTAGTTTCACTAGTCAGAAAATAGCCCCCCCCCCCCTTTAAAGATAGGGAGAAAATGTTTCGATAGAACAAAAATTAACAACCAAGAAGAAAACCTTGCAAGGAAGTTAGATTAGAGGTGTGGGTAGAACCCTAATCAATAATAAAAAAGTCAAGAAAATAACACCAGAGTGAGTTTTAGTTGTTTTGAAAATTTTTATCACCAGATGAATGTATGGTACATGGATTATAAATTGCTAAAACAACACAGATGAAGTCAGAAAAGGAATGCTTGGTGGAGGGGGGGGGGGGCAAATACTGTCAGACTTCTTTTAGTGAGCGAAGCGAAGAAATATTTACGGACCCAGCTGACTTAAAATACGATCACGCTCTCTAAAAACATAGCAAGCAAGCAAATAACCAAGTTCGAAACTGCACAAAGTCTACAATGCCTGCCAAAAGTCTAGGTACACGAACGTCAGTTTTCGAGGCCAAATTTAGCCTTAAAACTATGCTGGTTAACTACACAACGTTGTAGAAGATTAGGAAGTAACTTTTTTGTGATTTGTATGATATATTTTTCTGAACTATGTACAATATTGTTTTTTGGGGGGAAGGGGTGCAAAAGAAGAAGAATTCAGGAAATGAATCGGAAAATATCAAAACATAGCGCAAATTTTTAGGTGTTCAAAGTTCTTTTTGCAAGCATGGTAGATGAATTTTACAAGCAAAATTCAAGGGTTTGGAAATTTAAATTTAACATTCTCTATGATTGTATCTAAATCTAACGAGTTTGCTCATTCGCTCCGAATACAGCCACCGAGCAGTGTTGAGAAAAGTGAGGGGTCTAAAAAAGTGGGGTGGGGGGCTAGAACCGAATTAAATGAGGCTTTACTGGTGGTTTGCTTCTAAATAGTTTGCTTTTTTGCAAAAAGTGGTGTTTGGAAGCCCCAACATCTACCTTCACCAATGTTGAGTCTAGCATCGTCACTCATCCTACTTCGTATACAAGTTCGTATGTTCACTGAGATGACAATGGTTTAAAGAAATAGGAATATAGCAAGTTAAGTAAATGCAGACAGAGCAATCAAATTTAATAAAATCTATGTGCCGAGGGCACCCTGCGCTATTTGCCTCCCTTTCACCTATTGGTACCATCCCTGTAAACGAATGGCACGCAAAAGGTGCTGAAATAAAGTCATTGACAACGTACAGTGAATTTTCTAAATCTTTATTGGAAATTACATTCATTAAATATAATATGGGGTCAGTTTTTGGCTAAGATGCGAAATTTGTGGCTAGCTTTGAGAAAACTTATGCCGACATTGTTGTTGTTGCTGAGTAACAATATGCAAATATATACCGAAGGAATATTGTGCGCCACCTTAATCAAGTCAAAAGTTTGTATTTATTCATGTTGTTAGAAGGTGTCAAGGACTTCAAGAGGAATATAGTCTGTTCGGACATTAACTTGTAGTTTATGAAATTACATATTTTATCTAGTGTTGCGTCAGCTTTTTTATCTACTCTTTTTTACTGAAGTATCGCGAAATCGTCCACAACGAATCAGCTCGAATCAGTTGTGAGGAGGACGGAAGAGATGCAAATTACTTGGACATATAATGTACAGTTTGATGGCTAACTGTTTCGATTGGATTAGAAAAAGGAAAGAGCCGAATAGGTTCGTATTCTGTTTCAATCTAAATTGTTCAACTTCAGTCATTGAAGTTATTTTACAATCTTCTCAGTGAGTATTAACAAAATCCACACGAGCATTCATTATGACCACACAGACACCATCGTTTCTTCACTTTTAATTTATTATCGCATAAAGTTATGAAAGGCATCTTTGATTTCATGCAGCGAGCGCTTTGAATTTATCCTAAATATCATGATGGGTACGCTTGCAAATTCCAAATTTAACACAAGTTGATTTTGTTCGCAATCTGTCTGTGTAAACAAACAGGGTGAACATCTTGATACTGGCCTAAATAGCTACTTTCCCTTATTGACATAGTATCAAACACTTGTTCATGTAAGTTGCGCATGGAACTGGTGCCAATTTAACATCAATCTTCTAAACATGTGTCTTCTACCTTTTTACATACATTTTACATCAAGTTCTAAGCGTGAAAGATCTACAACAGTGTTTTGTCAACTGCATGTTTTCATTTTTTCTAAAATACCTTTCTCAGGGTCTCACCTTGTCTTCTATTTGTGAGTTATGCACACCTGGATCAAACTGGGCAAACTACTTCTGCGGTGTTTAATATGTGACATCTTCAAGCCTGACATTTTAAAAATTTTGTAATCTTAAAATCAATGCAAAACAGCAAAGAAATCTTTTTCATCAAGGTTTACTGTCAACAGTAATGTCAAATGATTGTTTAGGGCTGTAGTTCTGGATAGACAGTGTTAAGATTACCCTCCTCTCTCCAATAGTTCAATGTTGAAAACTCTGTTATTTAAATGCATATGTAGATTATTCCATACCCACTGGCTACATAAGAGCTGAGATTGATATTTTTCATGTTATCTTTCATTTTGAAGAAAACATTTTATTTAGAATGAAACTTTATTTCTAAATTTTTCATCAAAGCCCATTCAGTATGCACAGTGATCATGACCAAAGATGCAGACATGGAAGCACTGCTGGAACACCAGAAAACTAAACTTAAGATTCAGATCTTGAGATTGCAAAATATTTTCATACCCCTACCTGCACTTTGCAAAGTGGCTTTCCAATAGAATAAATAACTTGAATGTGAAAAATTTGCCTTTAGTAAGAGGTATATGGATATATATATATATATATTTTGAATTCATCTTCAAGAATCAGTATGTTTTGAACTTTCTGATGACATGTTTGACAGAGTGTCACCACTGACAATGCTACATACAGTGGTGGAAGTTTGTTTAAGGGATAAAATATATAATGTCTTAGGGCTTTCTCCTGGATATTTTCCAATTAGCAATGGCCTGGGAAATCCCAGAAAACCCTATATATGTTTTACATCCAGCAAAGTACCGTGTTGTTATTTAAAAGGGATCTTAACTTTCTCTATAGATGTTTTAAGATTTAGAAATATTACTAATAGGTGAATGTCCCCTCACTCTCCCCATTTTCTACTTCAATTACCCTACAGCATGGTTTTGGCTTTTAATGGCTTTTTGAGGTTTTTTGACCCATCTAAACTTCCCCTTACTTTAACTAGGTCAGTTATTAAAAAATTGCTCACGTCTTGCATATTTGGACAAAAATTGATAGCATTTGCACACCTAAATGCTGCACCTTGCAATTTCAGATGATTTTTGTGCACCTGATATGTGGAGATGTTGTGAACACCTGTCATTCACTGCAATAATAAATATCTTGAGAATACAAAACTTTATAAGACTAATGTCTCTTGACCTATAGCACTTTTAAAACAAACAGTTGTTACTGTCAGTTTCTGAAAGATACTTACCTACCTGAATGTGACACCAAAATGCATTATCCAGGAAAAATTTAAACTGATAAGATTTGGCTGCCCTCAATGCTATTGATATATTGAGGTACAACACAGGCAAATATAAATTTGAGCTTTTGCCTAAATTAACAATAGATATGTACCTGCATGGTTGTAAACAATGTTTCCTTTGTGAGCACACCAATATAATTTTCCTGTGCATAGTTTTTTGGAGGTTTCTAACAGGCCATAAAAGTTCTGACCTTGGGAGGTGGAGAAAGTCCAAATCAAGATATTCTGGACCCTATTAACTCCAATACGTATTGATGCACTATGTTTGCTAGTGCTCCTCAACATCTACAAACATTTTTGTGTACAAATACCAGCAGACCTAGTCATCATGTTATCAATTTGCAACGATCTGCAATTATAGACTGTTTTAAGTCTGTTGTTGACTGTGTTGATCTCCTTTTTTGTTTCTTCAATTACTGGTTATGTCTCTTAGATTCTCAAGTTTCTTAGTGATTAAAAGAGCAGTTTCCTTCAAATGCATGCACTCTTATAACAGCGTTTACTTATTTCAAATGCACTTAAGTAAAGCAGAGTATTAATAACTCTCTACCACACCGTGTAATAGTATAGAGTTCATCAAATTATCCATTAAGAAAATCCAAATAACATAGCCCATGTTAGACCTAACCATACAACATTTGGATCCAAAATTCTTATGTCAGTTGGGCCACAGATTTGGAATGGCCTACTGGACAAACTGAAATCCCTAGGAAGTTTGAAAAGTTTTAAGAATCTAGTAAAACAATGTGATGGACCAAATTGCAATTCTAGTGTCTCTCAGCTTCTGCCAGTAAATGCAAATTAATCTTTAACTTAGTATCTAGAATTACTTCAATGTACTAATTGGTAGCTACGTTCGATTTAATTAGTCAACATTGTATATGTATATGCATATATTGTTAGCTATTGTATGTATATTGAATTGAAATAAATCAACAAAGGGTAGGTTTGTAATATGTAGCACTTTTGCCTATTACCTCCCAAGGTAAAATGTCTATATTGAAGAGTCCATTGTATGAAAAGTATGAATAAGGGGGAGGCAGAGTTAAAAGGTTAAAATGGTGTATGCCACTAGAGTTAATTATGGCTTATTTATTTTCTGATATTAACAAATTGTTGTGCTTTCTTTTTTTAGGGCAGTTACATTGATAATCATTGGCCTAGATGATGCTGGGAAAACTACAATGGTTGCTAGTTTAAAAGGAGGTAACAGCCTTTCTTGTCAAAATATAACACTTCAGGCTTTCGTTGGAAAGGCGTGCGATCGCACGGGCATGCCCTGGCACACGCCTGCTGCTTTCCAGGAGTGCAAAACATTGCACGCCTTCTTTTATTATCGGAGCGAAATTCATAATTATTGGTTTTGTGGGTTTTTGAGATGAGTTAATAAATTGATCCCTCCTTGGTACTATTACTTCATGCCACTTAAAAAAGGCTTTACACCTTTTCAGGATTGCCGATTAAATATAAAATTTTGAAATAATCATAGAACTAATCTACAGTGGAATCCCGATATTATGAAACCTGACCTGGTTACAAGTATAACTAATTTTCCGGCATGACAAAAAATGTCTGGCCCCTTGAACTCTACCTCTGCACAACTCTCTTTTCTCGTTATTCTCGTTATAACGAAACTAATTTAGTCTCTTCATCATAATTTTCCTCAGATGACGAACTTTTCCCAAACCTTTACCGTTATTTTGGTCTACTTATTCCCGGTTTATATTTATAACTATTTCTCGGTGGAGTCATTATTGTCAGCGACAAAACATACATCGGCAAACATGCACTTTTAATGATGCAAAAAAGGAGAATAATTTGTGCAAACGTTTACACTTTTTCAAGGCTTTAAGGCATTTCATTGAACAAATCCAAACACAGAAGACTATAACAGACATTTTTTGTCCCCGAATTTTTAGAGGAACATTAAGTGTTTTGAACAAGACTTTCATTTTCTATCGCTAATGTACGAAAGTAGCCGATTATGCGATAAAATGGAGCCGATTTGCCAATGATGCGGAAAAAAATAACAGAGGAATTGCTGGATTTCGCTACCCCCTACAGCCCCCTCTTTAGACATCGCTATGCTTTAAATCTAGATTTTAGCAACATTTGATTTAATGAAAATTGGGCCATCATTATCTTTTATGCATCTGGCCAGTGAGGTACACAAAATAGCTGTCATGTTTGATAACAAAGGGCTCTCGATGCACTGATTTACAAGAAAAAACTGCCATTACAACCAGATGAACGCCAAAGCATCAATGATTCTGCTAAGGATTCATTATTGAAGCTAATGAAAACTGCTTACGACATGGCAAACATATTTCTATTCTTGAAGTGCTGTTTTTTTGGATATATTAAATAAGCTCAGTTTATACTTGTTTAGAAAATTGCTCAATTGCTAAAATGTAAGTAGTCATGGTAAGAATTCAGCGAAGTAAATTTCATTGAAATTTTTGCTGTCATCATTTTCGTGTTGGCCATTTCTCCGTAGATCTACCATAATTACCAAAATGTTTTGTGAAAAAATGTCACAAGCCATCACACGCCTGGATGTTTTCAGGGGTGCGGTGGTTAGCACGCCTGCTATATTTTTCCCACGAAAGCCTGCACTTCTAGAATCCAGCTACATGAAAATGAAAGACCACTATTATGTAGACAGGAAAAGAGTTTGTTTTCACCCTTGGGCCCCACTCATAATATTTTAAGCAGTCCAGCTACATTATTGGTCCACCTTTACAGTCAATGGGTCATTTCTAATATGCCTAATTTCATCTAAAACTTGTTATATATATATCCTTGCTTAAAGTTTGTGATGAATATTCTCACATTCTATACCCTGAAGAGTGTCAGGTGAAGATCTTTATGTTTAGAATTTTTTGCTTTTTTCCAAGCTATTATTAGCATTTAATGTAACCATATCCTCCAGTTGTAGTGGTTATTGTTTTCTCTAGTTGTGTATTGACATGCTTGTTGTGTACTGTGCACCTCTCAATTTTTTCTACCTGTTGCAAAAGTTGGAAGACTAAATTGTGACACTTTGTTTTATATTCAGAACCTCCTGATGGCATCACACCAACAATTGGATTCGCAAATGCAGAGTTCACACTCAGTCGCTGTAAAGTCACAGTGTATGATTTAGGTGGAGGGGTCAGAATCAGGGATGTATGGAAAAATTACTATGCAGAGGTAATGCTCTTACTTTCTATAGAAATTTACTAAAATGTTGTTTTGATGTTGCTAGTAGGTAGTTTGATTTATCACCTTGCTATTTTCACTCTAATCGTTTGGCTTCTCCTGTATTACTTCTAACTGTTATTTCAACAAAAATTCAGTTTTTAGTGCTTTCCTTCAAGTATTGTGAACATAATTTATTTTTTTATTTGCCCTTAAAGGTGAACTGACACGCAAAATTAACTTGACCTCAAATAAAAACATATGAAGCATAAATACCTGATACATTATTATTGTTTTAATATTCAACACAGTTTTCTAGTTATTGAGCATTAAAGTTAGCCACCGAACAATTTCCGAGCACGGACGAGTTTGCCCGAGCCTTCCGCATAATCATGATGTCACAAACACCATGTTCAAATCACTTGAGCAACACGACAGTCTGCAAGGCGGTACTTTTATGACCTTGCAGATGAGCATCGATACATTAATTGAGTAGGTTTTGGCTCCATTTCAACAACCTGATTGGAAAACAGATTATGACTCTTTTACAAACCTTTCATAATAAGATTTGCAAGAATATCGAATTATTCAACGCGTTTGAGGCCCTTCCTCCGTCTTGCAGGACCTAGTGTGTGGTGGGCCAACATATCATATAATGGTAGCGATAAATATATTGGCAGGATTTTTTATTTTCTGGAAACCTAAAGTAAAATACTTTTTTTGTTAAATATGGCTGCTGTTAGACTAATTTATCAGGGCTGCCCCCTCCCCCCAAAAAAAAGTTAATTTTGTTCTTTGATCCTGGTTAACTTCAATATACGCAGTAAAGATTTCAAATTTAAGTCACTCCCAGGCCGCTGCACTCCTGTAACTCAGGTGAACCGATGAGTTTGCAAACCCAAAATAAAATAACATTCATGATTTATATGGATGTAGAAATAATCTATTGAAGTAATAATATTTTGAATTTATTCATAAAAGAAGCTAGATTTATGATAAACTGATGACTTACTGACTTCAGAATTGAGAATTTCTCCGAGCAGCTCAAAGTGCCTATTCCTTCCAAACTTAAATTCCCTCCTAACATAACACAGTACCAGCCAGCACATATCCTTTGTACATTTCATTAGCCTCGAATTTTCATGTATCTTGGATCAAAGGCTACATAGATCTCCTCGAATAGTAACTGAACAAGATGAACTGAAATGTCCAATCCATGCATGATTTCCATTCAAGGAATAAAAACATGGTGTGTGACCTCACACGCACTGGGTCAGATGAAATGCCGACAATGGACGAACACTCGACGATAATTTCATGAAATTTAGAGCCGAATGGCGTCAAAACGGACAATAATAATTAACCGAAAACTTTAAATTAAGATTCCATGCATCGTTTTCTGCATTATATCAAAAAATAGTTTTGCGTGTCAGTTCACCTTTAAAAGTACACAGGATATTTGGTAAGTGTCACAGCTAGTCAAATCTCATCACCTTTTTTAGAAAAACATTGCGAATTGCCTGGCAGTTGCAGACAATTTTTTTAGATAATGTCGATGAAGTATAAACATTTTAATGTGCAAAAAAAGAGAAGTGGAAATCATCACCTGTAAGAGGATGATTGAAAGAGGAATATAAAACTTGAAGATTGAAAAGATTAAAAACATAATAGGATTTATTGCTTAGCTTCTTACTGTTTTTATTTTTGCAATGAATTCAGAAAAGCATTATACTGTAATTCAATAATTCTTAATTTCTTGTTCTTGAGCCTTTAATGGAGCTTCTAAATGAGAAAGAAAATTAAGCAAAAATAGATTTTATTTATCTGTTACCTTTATTAAACATCCATACAAGGGCTCAGCCGAGACCACAATAGAGGCAGTCACACTAGAAGCAGTTACATTTTCCTGTTTTATTTGACAAAGGATTTTTTTGTTTTTCTATAGGTATATGGTGTAGTTTTTGTATTAGATTCATGCAATGTTAAGCGACTAGATGAAACAAAAGAGGTCTTCCAGCAAGTTTTAGAAAGCTCAAAAATTCTTGGTAAACCATTCTTAATGTAAGTATTTGTCATGGATGCAGAGAGTATTTTTTTTCTAGTTTGAACCTCCTTTCCTGTGAATCTCCCTTGATGCTTAAAATTGAATTGTTCCAAGCAGGTGACTTTTTACTGTACCATGTATTTTATGAGTGATTTCATTCATTTATCTATAAGTAACAATGAAATGTGTCCCCATAGATCTTAGATCTTTTCAACTTGACATATTTTGTTAAAATCTTGATAAATATATAAGATTACAATGTAAAAAATTTTATTTATAGCTTTTTTAATCATAAAAATAACACTAAATGATATGAAAATAAAGTGAGGTAGACAGTTTTTCCTTTTTTCCTTCTAGTATGACCATTTATTTTCTTTCAAATGAGACAAACGTCTTAAAATATTTTTCATGCACCCTTATCATCCTGAAAATTCATCCTGATAGGGTTTCTCATCCACCTTCACGCAAAAAAATTCTGAAAAATAAGCAAATCATAGAAATCATGAAAATTCATGAAAAAGGTTATGCAAGAAAGCACTGCCAAATTTCCAGGAAACAGTTTATCAACAATGATTATCAAATGAAGCAATAAATTATCATGTGAGAGAAAGCTGTCCAACCACTGTGCATGATTTTGAATGCTGTTTTTGGTTTTTCAATCAATCAATTCCTCAATTTGCAGATTCGCAAATAAGCAAGATAAAGTTGGTGCCTTAACAGCAGAAGATATAACTAATGCACTGGATTTACAAAATTCAAAGCACTCTTTTTCCTACAAAGTGGTATGTTTGCTCCATATTATAGCACGGCTATCATTCTTCATTAATACCTTCATACTGCATTTGTTATATATCATTTATGTTGTATTTTATGCAAATTTATTCAGTTCAGAAGCTGTTGTCTGCTTTTTAGTCTACCTTATTTGCATTTGATTGAGGCAGTTGCCCATAAGAAATGTCAATAACTTGTTAATTATTACTCTTATCTTGTATTGACATTTTTTAACCTGTTTCCTTGCTTGCTATTTTCTAAATTGATTTTTTCCATAGCTATCTAAGATGTATGTAGCTTGTTAAATCAATATTCAATTGAACTGAGCTGATCTACCCAGAATCTCATTTTATCTTTCAGTTCACTTGTTCTGCTTTAAAAGGCTATGGAAGAGGAACGGACAAAAATATAAATGCGGGTAAGATTGTTTTTAAAATATTTTTGGTCATCTCCTTTATGTTTTGAAGAAAAAACAAGGATTGGGGTTTTACCATTTAATGTAGTTTGAATCATGCATCTGGATTTATATTATAACCAATTAGCAGCAAGACCTATAAATATGAATGCCGACAGAAATTTCTGCACCATGAAGTATGATCACTGCAAAAATTATTTCAACTCTTTAGTTCCAAAGAGTGACCACTATGTCGCCAAAATAGTTGTTTTTTACCAGCTTAACTGGTAATATTTTAGAAAATCTCCACACTATACAGAAATATATGTTTTTTGGATCTCCGTCAATCACCGAACTTGACCTGCACTTCTCCGGCTTTCTTAGGATTTTTTTAAAGAGGATTTCACCTAAAGCTTTTTTGTATAATTCTATTCTAATCTATTCTGCATTACCCTTTTTATACTATCTTTGTTAATAAATATACCCCCCTAAAATGTAAGTGAATTTTCGTTCAGGAATTTAGAGAAAACAGTTTCATTTGCTAAGCTGTCATTTGTCATCCAATTTTTTCGATGTAAACATGGCGATACTGTAAAATATAAACAAACTTAAACATTGACATTTCTCTCACATCATCATTTTGAAATAAAAGATATGATTCTTGTACCTGACTTGTGTAACACAGGGCTCAAGTTTTGATTGAATGAGAGCTTTCTTTGAATCACATGACCCCCTGGCCACTGAGCCAATCATAGCCCCAGATAATGTAAGTAAACTTAGGCCAAGACAAAAAGTTGGGCATTTATTATGCCCAACTTTCACTCCGTTGAAAAATGACGTATAAATCCAGAGGAATTATATTTCAAATATAATTAACCACTGCCTTTACTTAGCGTAGCTTATTTTGCTTATTTGGCTATTAATAATTCAAATTGTAAAGAATATAATTTAAGGTCAAGACATTACAGGATTGAATCTTGCTATAACTGACTTATAAATCCTGCTCTACCTGTTTAATACAAAGATCACTGAGAGCTTGAAATCTTAACTAGAAAACCAATCTTAGATTATTTCTGTCGTTTTTTCTGAGGTGATGGCAGTAGGTATTTTGGCAATACCTACTATTTGGTATTTTCAGACAGGTTCTGGAATGACGTTTTTACCTATTTTTCGGGGCTCTGGTATGATAAATATTTGCTTTCTCGTGGGTCTTTTCACTGTCTTTCGGATATTTTGCTACTTCACCAGGAAACAATTCCAATTCACTTGACATTTCTAATTTACAGTTTTTATTTTGCTTTTGTTTTGACTTTTCACGATTTTCAAATTAAGTTCATTCCAAGACTCTCTTTTGTTGTCAAATGGCTTGTTTTAAGTACGCAACAGGTATCTTCAATGAAATCATGCATTTGTTTCCATCTCAATCTCGCGTTTAGACATTTAAGGCCAAAACATTCAATATGAAACGATCTAATCTTTAGAGTGATTAAATCATTTGTTTCATACGCTTTAAACATGAAATATTAATCTATATATGGAAGCAATGATATTGTGATAACCTGCCATGACGTTGTTTCCAAGGTGAATTCTTTTCTCATTAAATGTTTTTGCTGTCAACATTTCAGCAAACAATTGAAAAAAATTACGCTAAGATTTCACTTGATTCTTGATTTTGTTTGTTTAGGGTATCTGATCTCACATTGTATTCTGTTTTGGTTTTCGGTTTTTTCAATTCGCACTAGATAGCTCAAGGATATTTACTTTGACCATTTTCTAGTTTAAAATATCAATATCAAACTTCCACCAGAACGTTGTGGGGCTTTGATATTCAACGTGACCTAAAGACAATACGTTCATAAAGGATGACAGACGTAGCCTTGGTCTTCTGTCTTCTGTATGCCATCTTTCTAACAAACGCATGATTCATGTGATCAGTTCTGTTTGCTTGTCGTCTTGCTAACTCATGCTTCATGTGATCAATTACACCTTTACAGATATAAGCCATCGCATGCCATAATCGATAGACTTCGAAGGCGTTGGTCAAGAGCCTACTGTAGCTTCTGCGCAATTGTATAGATTTCTTTTTGGCAGTT